CGTGTCCTCAGAGCGAGGCGCCCCTGTGTGGGTGCCGAACCCCATGGCGCTCCGAATTCGCGTGCTCTGACTGTGAGCGGAGGCACGTCGCCGGAGCGAAACTCCGCGCGCCAGATTATTGCGTGGCGGGAAGAGCTCCGGCGCGATCTCATGGCGATTTGGCAGCAACGACTGTCGCAACCGATACCTGGGCTCGCTGCCATTGCAGCGGTAAGTGCCCACTTTGAGAAGTGGCTTGAGAAACGCTACGGCGTCCTCACCTACCGCCTAACGCAGGTCCTCACCGAACATGGGAGCTTCGGGAGGTACCTGTGTCTGATAGGTCGAGAGAAAACGTCCGGGTGTCATCACTGCGAGAATCGCTCTGAAGACACGGTGGAACACACTGTAGGGGCATGCCCTGTGTGGGATGAGCACCGCCGTACCAAAAATTTATTGAAAAACATAATAGACGCATTCCTCACCCCCTACAATTTTCGAATGTTCCCCTCGGTTACCCTAGTATTACATCATCAGATCCTGACCTGATTAAAATAAGGTCCTCAAACGACGGAGTAATCGGTAAACAAATAAAAAAAGCAAAAACCCGAACATTAACTAATATTCGGGAATATTAACTAATATTCCCCTTTTTTTGAAGTCGGTAAAAATAAACACAACTGTCAATAGTACTACTTTCAATTTTTATTTGTAATATTGTGTAACCTATGCCAAATCGAGCAAAGTATTATTGAGTTCTGAGTCACATCTGGTCTCTATCAACAGTACCACCTTTCTCAATGTTTAAGGGAACTAGGATTGAAACCAACTATTTATTTGTTGTTTTTTACACAAAACTTTAGTTTTTAAAAGTCATATCAACAATATCATAGTGACGTTGTCTGGTCACTGAATCATTAGTCAGATTACAGATAACGAAACAGACAACATAAATTAAACAAACAGAGATATTTTCTTCACAAAAATAGAACAAATAAAGCTATTGTTTCACAATTATGTATCACTTTGTTGCAATAAAAACGATCAAAGAATTATTCAAGTTGAAATGTGGAACACAAGAAGTTTATCAAAACATACTAAAAAGTATGAAATAAATAATTGAAATATTGTTATTACATGTTACTCATAGCACAGCAAGATAATTATGCATACCAGGCTAAACAAGTAGGAAAAAAGGCAAATATTATAAACAATAAAATAATTTCAGTTTATAAACCTACATACATTCAAACCATAACATATTATACATACAATTACATTCCGCAAATTATGAAAATAATGAAAGAATAAAAATGTGGGGTGATTCAGGAAGTCGTAAGCACTAAGCAGGTGAATCACACAAGAAGTGAATTAAAACATAAATGACTAAATGCTTATACAGATTAAATTCGCAAGTGCATAGTATAAACAAATAAATTACATATGAAAGCAAAACATAATAAAAGACTGCTCAGTTGATTGAAGGCGAAAAGAATACTTAAAATCTTAGGTTAAAAAATTCCGTTTCTCGATTTCAATACTTTCAGTATTGGCATAGAGTCCAAATTACTATAAGTTATTTTAAAAACTGTGTGATTATTATAAAAATGATGCAATTGCTTAGTGTGACATTGAATTTTGGTACAGCCGTGCTAGGCAGCAGCAGACTAGAAGATATTTGTTACCACCACTAAGAACTTTTCAGGCAGATGTCCTCAGCGTTGACTAACAATATTTACTTGAGACCAGACAGCACCATTTTCTGCTAAACTAAATTTTCATAAAGGGCAATCTCCAAACAACTTGCTAAGCTTAAAAATTACGGCAAACCTCTTATCTAGAGGAGGCCCATAAGAAACTTTTGATCTTCATCTTGATCTTGACTTTTCATTGAAATTTTGATCATAATGAAATTCAGAAATTCTGTTATTGTTGTGTGATGTCTGTACTGTACTGTCTGATGTACAACCAAACAGAAAAGAGAAATTGCATAATGTGTTGATAAGAACAAGAATCGAGGTCCGTAATATTAATAATTTTAAATGCCAAGGGTGTTATTTTATTAAAAACTTTGGTTGAAAAATAAAGAATATTATTAGTATAAATAAAATGACATGTAGTTATGTTTCTATAATGCTTAATAATATTGTACACATGGCCACACATCAATCTATACAAAACCAGTTTATCCTGGTGTCGAGTCGCATCATCTTTCCGCAACTTTAACGTTCAGTTTATACTACTATAGATGTGTAGCCGTGTGTACTAGAAAAGGCCTTTTAAAAGATTTATATCACAGAATACACTAATTTAAACCGACTTCAAATTCTAAAAAGGAGTCTCAGATTGACCTGTACATATGTTTGTGGGCGATCTATAGGATATCTTGCGATTACCTGAATCGATTTTGATGTGGTTTCCAGAAAAAGTGTTAGTTACACTTAATAAATGTAGTTTATAAAAGAACTGTTCTAGTTAAATACCTATATCAATTTATTCATTGATAAACATTTTATTTGATGGTCAAAACCGTCAAGGTATAATGAATTGAATTAACTCGTTGAGTACCGTCATTATACACATAATTAAAGAATAATAGGTTGCGGTCACCGGTGACCGCTCAGTGTTTGACATTTAAATATACTAAAAGTAAATCTGAACTTTTTACTTGCACACATAAGAATTTTGGAATGAATGGCAACACCAATTTGGGGTATTCTATTTCTATAGTTTTTATTACCCCAGACCAAACATAACATTTGTTACCTCAAACAGACATAAGGTCATAAAATAGTGCAATATAAACTATAAATTCCTATGCATAACCTAAAGTAATATAATTATTGACTACTTTCATACATAACAGCTTCTATTATCATAAAATAATAGGTGGAACAAATTTGAAGAAACTAAACATATTTGAATTCAATAGATTAGATAATTAAAATATGTACATAAATTAAATTAATATATAATTTGTTGCTCATTCAGTCTCATGTTGTATTGATTCTTTTGGTTTGATTGATGTCAATGACTATTTGTTATTAGCACATGTTATTGGTCTATAATACATTACACAAGTACTATCAAAGTCAAACTAAAATGTGGAATTCAATTCTCTTTTATCATAATAACCTATAGAAAAGATGATTCATATTCAATTAATTTTTGGTTACTCAATCGTCATATTCATATTTTATTTTGGTTACGAAACTTTTGTATTTATACGAATTTTAAATAGTAGTTATATTAATGATTTATGGCTGGCTTATGTCCTCGTCTTCATCCACATCAATAAAAATTAATTCCTTTCAAAATACTTATATTCTTTCTTTCATTTCAACCACCCATAAATACTGTAAAAGTACTTCATTTCAATTGTTTTTGTAATGAGTATCATCGAAAATAGTTTTACAGCTTAGGTGTGAATGCGCAACAAACACTCACATAACTAATTTCATTCATATTATGGCTTCAGAATGTGTTCATAAGAATAACAGCTGATTCATGTTCCTAGTATCAATGTCTCCACACTCCATTCTTGGTACATTTTTCAAATAGTAAATATATAATAGAAAGGAGAAACAAAATCATTTAAAAAAAAGACAATGGAACATCCTAATTTTTTTTAATTCAGGTTGGGGTCTCTCCCCTTTGTCTAACTAAAGGAATAATAATGGTAATTATCCAGATGCAGTACTTTTACCCTAACCTTACCATGTTAGAAAATGACTACTGCGTTATAGGTGGGAGATTTTTCTGTTTAGTACTCTTATTGGATGAATGCTGAGTAAATAATGAATATTTATTCGTTTTAACTTAATTGTCCACTCCCCAAGTGGTCACCAAGGACCATTTTCCACTTACTTTATTATAGACCTTGTTTCCGATGGTTACTGTTTAGAGGCTTCTTTTGTATGAACAATTGTTGTGGATTACTCAATCAGAGATTATAAATACCCAGTATTTATTCATTTTGAGTATTTATCCGAAAAATCAATCATCACTCCAATGATGTTAATATTTAAAAGTTACCAAGAACAATGAACATATATAAATGCATACCACATACCATTAGATTTGATTAGAAAGAAATAGTTTTTGTTTGTGATTAATTTTTTTTGAGGTCTTTCTACTATTCACAATAACCATGTCTCTTACCAATAATTTATAATATAAACAATACTAGTAACATGAGATTTTGATGATATTTTATCATCAACCTTTATATTGAAAATAATTCATTCTATCAGCTGATTTGTTGTCTTGTACAAAGAATTAAATTGGTTTGTTAAATAAAATATAAAATTCCTATACATTTCATGTTAACTTTGTGAATAAATCAATTTGGGCTATAAAAACTAAATAAGTCTACAAATATATTTAAGACAGTGTAATAGACATTGATGAATACTTTTTTATGTCGCATGTAATAGTGTTTTTTTTTAATATGTATAAAAAATTTTTTCATTGACATAACTGCTCACTCACCAGTAAATTAACGACGCAAACAAAGATTAGGAGAAAAGCTTTGATGATTTTAAAATCTGATGTTGAATGCATGGTCAAGAAATTTTCTTCCAGTTATTGGGTTATAAAATTCGTATCTGCGTATTGCTTCAATACTAAATGGCACAACAAGCTAAGAAACAACTAAACATACATTACCGAGTAAATTATAGCATGAAAATGGCAAAATACAGCGTGATAATGGAAAATGAAACGTTTTTAGAATCATGACGTTTTTCTGTTTAGTCATATTTAATGTGTTCGCTAAACTGATTTTCTTACATAGTGCATATTCAACAGAAGCAAAAATAATCAAAAGTTTTTAATAAAAGCCAAAAAACAGCCCTACAAAGTACAAATTAAACACTGTACAAAATTATGACATCTGAAAATTGCCACCTCGGCAGTCATCTGGTGGTCGGAGTATACGCCATGATTCTCACTTTACTATTTGTAAATACTAAAATAGGGTAGACAAATATTACGAAAACAATTTTCTTTTTTAACAATACCTTACAAATATCTCGTACAGTCATCACAAAAGTAACACATATAGCTTCTACCCACTTCAAAACATGATCGGTCAGCAGCCGTGGTACATAGACTAGATAGAATTTTGCAATTTAGTTACGAAGTGGAAAATCGTCTGACAGCTTTTTACAGCATTGGACACATGAGTGTATTGTTGTTTATGAGTAGTGTAAAAGTCAAAATTAATTTTATGATATCTTTAAGTAATTGAGTAATCTATAAACATTGAGGATAGGAAAATCTTCTATTTAAATTATTTGTATTAATACTCTTAAAAATATTAATTTCACAGATCATTTCACTTTGGTGGTTCCTTACGTTTCCTGTTGAGTAATTTGCTGCCAATAAACTGCCTGCTAGCTAACCAAAAATAAAAAACTTTAACACTTTTTTCAAAGGTGAGCTTCAGTGAGGAAGAAAATTATTCAATTATTCTTCTATACCTATAATTTTATCAGCTAATAAAGTACGGAATCGGATACAATTTTTAGAAAACCTTGCGGTGTTGTCTTTTTTCTTTTGTCTATGTTTGGCTTTGACATTATACTCTTTGACACTAACAATTGACACTTGACAGTGACATGAATTGATTGAAAAATCAAAGTATGAAATATGAACGAATTCGTTACAAACAATGAAAGTTATTACAAACTGAAAATAATTGGTGAACTTGCGTAGTAATATTACAAAACAATTGAAATCTCTTAACGAAACGATAGTTCCCCGTGTAAAGAGTATGTACCGGAAAGGCAAAAAGATGATAAGATTTGGTCAATTGATAAGCTAGTTTATCATTTAGGACCACAAAAACAATGTGAAGACGTGGTACATATCTTTATTTTACAGATATTACTTAGGTTCAATGTTTATGAAAGGCCCTTTTAAATAGCAGACCAATATTAAAGTGACTACATTGAATTCTAATAACTTCTAAAAGCAGTTTGAAATACACCAGCAACAGGTAGTTTACAGAGACAGCCAATTCATGATAAAGATCTAATTGAATAAACTGAGTAATTATTAATGATTTCCCTACTGCATTCCTACATTTGTTTATTTAGATCCAAATGAATAGAGAACATTGTGTATAGGTTACATACCCAGTTGCCAACTATTCCAACCCACAAATAGGGGTGAGCGACATACTATTTATATTGGAAATTGCTGTGTTTAACATCTACTAACTGCTTCAATAATGCTTCAAATAGTTACCAGGCACAGGACACGGGCAATCAGCTGAAAATGCTTCTAGTTTCAATTGGTTGAGGGTTCTCATTCCTACATAATTATACACTGCCATCAATAAGGTTTCCACATCTACAAAAAAGGTCCATTACATTCATTTTAATATTTCTCAATTCTTTGCATTGCATAGTTCAGTAAAATATGATTTAACTCGTTGAGTACCAGTTTTGTAGACACAATTATAGAACAAATAGGTTGCGGTCACCGGTGACCGCTTGGTGTTTGACAGTTTAAAAAAACAACTGAAATGCTTATGGTGGCAGATACTCTATGTATATAATTTTAGAGACCACATTTACTTATTTAACAATATAAGAATAACTATACATAAAATCATAGAACTTTTCTGAGGGCACCATATTATATTGATCCTACTTTTTGTCAGCAATGTTTTTAGTCTTATAACATAACATCATGCCAGCATTTGATGCCTCTGTATAATGTAATACCAATGTGACTTTTAGGCTTATTATAGAAAACCTATTGGCCCTACTACCTTTTAAAACTGACTCGGCTATTGTATTGAAGACAAATATTTAACTCTGTGATAGGACTTCTACTCTTGACTTTTCCTCTAGCATTTATCAAACAAGAAGAAACTTAGAGGTAACCTATCAGGATTCAATATGTAACCACCCTTAAGTCTTGCTTAATTCAATAAATAGTTATCGTTACGAAACTTTAAAATACTAGCTGTTAGACACAACTTCTTCCGCATAGACTATGAATTTTAGGACCTAACATTTATGTTAGTCCTTAGTACATTAGCTACCTGCCAATAAAAGTCCCGTCAAAATCTGTCCAGCCATTCCAGGGATTAGCCAGTACAAACAAACAGACAAACAAAAATAAAATAAAATATTTTTTAATATTACAAACTGACAATTTAAATCTATTTATCTGTATAGATTATGAACTTGATGCCTATGAAAAGGATTGGTCAAAGAAATCTCCATGAAGAGAAGTGGATGGAGGTTAGGGAAGCCTTTGCCACTAACGGGATGACCAAGGCTAATAATAACTATTAGTAAATAGAATTATTATACATAAAATAGGGCTTCTACAATATTAAAAAGAAATTAGGTTACTTTCATCCTTAGTTTGAGAATGACTGGACGTTTACTATTAAACAGCCTGTCGCTTCGGAGATCTATATCGTTGATAGTGTACCATAGATGTATAATATGTGCCTCAACTAAAACTCCTGTCGCATCTCACAAATCTGCATTTGTTTTTTGATAAAAGAATGTTACCATAATGTTGGCAAATATTATTGTCTGAAAAATTGTTTGTAATTGTTTTAATTGTTCGTAACATGAACCAAATTGCAACTTATCACATACCTAGAAAAACATGATATATGGTACTCTGGAAACTTACTTAATCTTAATCACTGAAAGCCTAACCACACATTTAGTATTTACCTATTAGTTTCAGATGAATGAATCAACATAACTTTAGTTTCTACTCTCAAACAAAGTACATAATTTATTACTAATCAAGTCTGTCCAGTAGCTGCTATGGTGCTCTTATAGCGCTTTGAAAATTATGTGTTACATCCTTAGGTAAACATTTTAAACAGCAGTGTGTGAATATTATTATGAGACCATCCACATATCATAATTAACCGAAGTACAAAATAAATAAATTAGGATAATATTCCATTATAGGTTTTATTATGAATACTTACATAACATAACATTTTACATTTATAAACTATAATTTAACTAATCTATATATAGGTATAAATTAAATAATTTTTTTTTTTTTTTTAAGGGGGGAAAATCATCGAATGACTGCCCCCGCCTGGGTGAGGCGGGAGGGAGTGTCAGACTCTTACTGACTAAAAACCACCCCGTTCCTTCTCCTGCACGTCGAGCCGGAGCCCCGGTTACCCGTTAGGTTCTCCGCGACATAAATTAAATAATAAATAACACAAACAATCCCTTTCTTTTTAATTATAATATAATTAGTTCAAGGAAATTGCCAATTGTTTCGCGATAATAGTGGCTAAATTAATATTTTTAACGTAAAAAAACATACTAAGGTTCATTTTACCACCATAGGTCTGGATCTTATTTCATTGCTATAATGGGAAAGGTCAGAATAATGTACGTAGAGAAATTGTTAACATTACCGTGTGGTGCAGATTAAAATATATTGGTTTCTACCACTGCTTTTCCCGCGGGTGTTGTAGGGGCCTATATTTATCAAAGACTGGGCAGGCCGACAGTAGCCCTGTGAAACTGTGTAAACCTTAAAATTGCGATCTGAAATCTAGGCAGGCGCGTCTAGGAAGGAAATCATGGTAAACCCTTCTTATGTAGCAGTCTTATAATCCAGCCCTGGACCGTCCGGGCTCCGACCCATCTCAATATTTATATTGAAAGCAATTTGCATTATCTGTAATGTATCTTATAATCTAATATATTTTGTTCCACTTTCTGAAACTATCACAAGTACCTATTTACTATAAATAATATTAATATATACGCGATACAATACAATTACAATACAATAAAAATACCTCTTCATTGTCATCGATGTGTGAAGGACCCAATGTGGGTACCTACGGCCTAATTTAGAACTCCTTAGGTACATATTCAATATTTAACACTGGCACATTGAAAACACAACAAGTGAGTGTTCATTAGAAAAAACAAATATAACAAGTACATGAAACTGTCAGCAAAGACAGAAATTGGCGCCAAAATGCCAATCAAATCAAACCCCAACTTCAGAACGAGTCCACCCTTCGTTTAGGGATCTGTGGCAAGGTCAATAAACTTCTACAGATTCATGCAAATTATATGCAGTTCGTTTTATAATTTACATGTTACAAACATGAGCTATAGATTTAAATTGCAGAGATGAAGGTAATTAATCATTAATTAAATGTTTGGATTTATTTATTACCTAAACTTTACAAAAAGTGCACAATTGTTATCGATTGTTTTGTACCATATTGAAATCTCCCGGTTCTTTGGGGTCCTCATCGGCAGGACCAACTTCTGTAGACTCGTTCTAAAAGCGCTCGTCCTAAAACAAACTGGAAATAATTTTCTTATATTTTTCAACAAATGTCACTTATTAGTTTTTATTTAAGTATTCGATATTAGATACGGTAGATACTAGATATTGGTGTTAAACGGATTTTCTTGTTTCTCGATAATAATGATAAAATTATCTCCCTAAAAATAATCGTACGATCTACAAGAGGATATAAAGCTTTTTCCTATGTACTATTATTATACAATCAGTGGGTGGAATGTAAACATTTCAAAAAGTCGAAACTTTTCCTTACATTGGACAACTTTACTGTTTTATTTACTGGCAATAAATCTTCTCTGTTGCAGCTTCCGATTTTGCTGCCAACCGATAGACTCGTTCAATTATGAACCTTATATGTTAGTCGATGAAGTTGGTTTTGAGTATTGATTTGAGACACCTTACATGAACACGTTTTGTACTATTTCAGATTTTCATTGGACGACTATCCGTAGACACGCCCCGCAGTTGCAGTTATAGTTTCCGGTGTTTCGTGAAGTCAAGAATAAAATAATAACAAAATGGATTCCAAAATAATAATCATATTGATGTCATTGGTGTTAGTAAAGGTAAGAAAATTTGTTTTTATTATGAAATATATATAATAGCGAGCGTTTAGTTTATAAATCCTGTGGTTGTAAATGTTGTAATTGTATCGATCGGCTGCGACTGCTGCTAATATTGACAGTAATTATTGGCCCCGCCTTTCTTTCCTCCATTGCGTCCAGGAGCTGTGCTGTAGTGGTGAGTCAATATTTATTATATTTCGCGATTTTATTACAAAAATCTGGTCATTTTGCTGAAATTAACTGATTGATGATTCCTTTTAAATTGTAAAAGTGTTTGCATCAAAGATACATACATAATCCTATTATTTGCCATGCTTAATATTTTTAATGACAAAGAAAATGGTGCACAAAGTTTCGATCTGCGACAGGATGTTCTAATAATCGCGCGCCAATATGCCTGATATGCTGTGCATATGATGCTCTATGTGAGAATTTTATTGATTCAATTTTGCACATGAAGAACAATAGGGAAGCGTATAGGTTCACACTCGGATAGGTAATGCTAATAGGCCCGCCCCCTATTGCATTGCAAGGGTCCAGTTACACTGGTCGGAAGAGCGTAGAGACTGTAAGTGTATAGCTGTAGATCTCCCTTTAACAAAAACTGGTGTGAAGTTATGTTAAAAATATTATCGCTGATATTCTGATGCAATTTGATTGATAATTAGTGTTTATCGTTTGTTTGCCGGTGTTTTGCGAAGCGTCCAAGAAAATAGGGGTAGTGGCGGCCATCTTTAAAAATAGTCGTGTGTAGAATATGGGTAGAGTTGTTGAAGCCACAACCACAACCTAAGAAGAAAATGAGAGGAGGGTGATGGAATCTATTGAAAACGGCATGCTGATCAACGCTAATTAACAAGATCAAGATTAGAATAAAGGGCAGTAGTTTAAATAATATTTTGAGGAGAAGCTGATCCAACGGTGCGTGGGAGTTTCCAGTAACCTTGTTCTTCTTGTTCAAGTGCAGAAGATTTTATTTAGGGGAGAGAACCTTAGCTGATTTGTTCTTCTCGCTGATGAGCGGAATGGGAATGGATCCGGGTACATCTTGCAAGGAGCCTCTGACAGACAGATTACAGTATCCATCTACATCCTTCTTGCGTTACAAGTTACCTTAGCTTTATTATGACGGCAGACTAAACAAAATATTTGTCACCTCTACTCTTCCCCGGGGTATCGAAAGAGTCGACTAGAGGATATTTAACAACGATCAGGCAGCAGCATTCTACTTATCCGATTGCCATACGTAAGGATTATGGCAAACCCATGCCCCAGCTGAAGACTCTTAACGGGTTTTTGACGATGATGAGGGTAATGACAAGCCGCCTGCGCCTGCTAATCGTGAGGATTATGGCCTTCATGGTCTTTGTATAGAAATTTGGTGAAGTTGATTTTGTGTGTAGGTAATGAAGTTTTGTGGTATTGGGTTTGGTTAAGGCTTTTGTTCCAAAGAGGCCTTATTCTTCCAATTAGTGTTGATGAGTACCTTTGAGTACAAGTTTGCTTAGTGGTGTGATCAAACACATGTTGCTTTGACAAAAGAAGAAAACTGGTGAATTGTCGTGCTCATTGATCAATTATTTGTATCTATTAGATCCACTTTTTATTGTTTATCCTAAATGTGATGCTTAGATAACGTGTCAAGTTTACCTTACGGTTCAGTTTCAGTGGTACCTACATTTGTGTATTAAATAATGTGTCCTTTAAAATACGTTCGGAAGATTTTGCCCATTAAATAAGGAACAAAACTCAGTCGTGTTTTATTTTCAACAACTTTAATCGGTAGGTAATTGATAAAATCGAAATAAATCAATAGGGTAGATGCCTAATTTTCATTTGAATATCCGTCTGGTAGATTATTTTAAATCATTAGACACGTGTTTTTTATTTTCTTAGAAGCGAATACTTTTGACGACATATTGATTTGAAATGTCGTGAACCTCACTTCTATGTACATTTATACGTTGGAAATGACGTTTTAGCCTCCACTCCTCAATTTTGATTCGTTTTATCTAAGTAGGTATTATTTTATTATACCTACGACAAAATAAAAAATACGTGTCGAATATTTTTTCATTATCTAACTTACGGACTAATAAGGTTTTTAATTTACTCTGACATCATCCTAATTGTTTATAAAAGAAGTATCGTATTGTTTGATGATTAATTGCCAAGCTTTGTTTGAAAAAAAATCTTATAACTAACCCATAATTGCCTTTTAAACTGTCAAACACCAAGCGGTCACCGGTGACCGCAACCTATTGTTCTATAATTGTGTCTACAAAACCGGTACTCGACGAGTTAAATATGTATTATCAAATGTTAAACATCAATAACACCATACCTTTTATTTTCTGATTGGAGGTTCATTACTTGAAAGTCATATGTGTCTTTGAGAAAGGAAACTCCGAGCATAGCCCTATCCGTAGCGCACTGAGACCTATTAGTGAGAGACCACGTCTCGGTTCCATAAATCATAAGTGGTGGTACACACTGATTATAGACTGATTATAGATATCGTCTTGAGGCACTGGTGATACCTAACAGCTTCTTATATAAACTTGTCAAAATTAAATAGTTAGGGCCCACTTTTTTAAGCTTTTGTCAAGAAGCATTAATGTGTTTCTGGTTTTTAAAAACAGATATGTTTAGATCAGGTATTTAGGCATTATTTATACTTACTGAGTCTCAAAGTTATAATTTTTTTTAGATAATGTTCTAAGTATCCCATAGTTACTTAGAAATCTCCCAATTTTCCAACCTTTCGGTTACCTCCTTGCGATACACTATCAAAAAACCGCTACAACTCTCTAAAACTCTCCCTCCTTTAGCAGAGCAACCGCCCTAGCAGCGGTGTCCTTATCAAAATCACATTGAAAATCAGTCATAGAATTCACAAGTAATGCGCAAACCAAACAAAATCTCACAAAAAGCAACATTTAACGATTACTGTTACAGTAACACCATTAGCACAGGACATAAATTTCACATCACATTCTTTTCAAGTCCTTCACTATTTCTGCTTCTGCTTACCTACTTAAACAAAACGCTCAAACTGTTGTTTGAAACATAAGTAGGTAAATTACTTATGAACATTTTAACTACATAGTCAAATGCTGTATTTTAGTAATCAACTAGCTTCTGCCAGCGGCTTCGCCCGCGATCCCAGGGGTACAATGCCAATGTATTACTTCAGACCATACTCTACCTCTGTTTCGAATTTCATTCCGGTCCCTTCAGTCATTTTAATATGACTGAGTAACAAACATACACAAACACATAAGCTCACATATTTTCACATTTATAATATTGAGTCTAGCTAATTTCAACCATCGACCCTACAGTTACAGTGTAAAGTCTATGGATGAGTATTGTAAACGTAAGAGTAAACAAATATAAGCAGAAAGCTCCGAACTGCTAAGCTATCGGGAGTTACACGTGTTATTGTAAGTCAACCATAAAAGATAGACATGTGCTGTTGTTGGATATTATTTAGAAAATTTTATGTAGAACATTTCCGTCATACACGATTTCTTTGTAGCTTTAACTATTCAATATTTAAGCCTGCTCACGCGACGGAAGCTTAAAAAATGGAGTAACTGCTCCCGTTTTCCCAACACTTTCCTTTACTGCTCTGCTCCTATTGATTGTAGCGAGATACTATAAGGAGTATGAAGAATAATTGTACCAAGTTTCGTTAAAATCCGTCGAGTAGTTTTTGTTTCTATAAGGAACATACGGACAGACAGACAGACAGATAAACAGACAAAAATTTTACTGATTCCATTTTTAGCATTAGAATCGATCACTAACCACCCCCTAATAGTTATTTTGGAAATATATTTAATGTACAGAATTGACCTCTCCACAGATTTATTTTATGTATAGACATATGGGCTCGCTGCCATCGCAGCGGTAAGTCCCCTCTTTGAGGAGTGGCTTGAGAGACGCTACGGCGTCCTCACCTACCGCCTGACGCAGGTCCTCACCGGACATGGCAGCTTCGGGAGGTACCTGTGTCTGATGGGGCGGGAGGAAACGCCCGGGTGTCATCACTGCGAGGACCGAGGACACGGTGGAACACACAGCGGGAGAATGCCCTGCGTGGGCTGAGCACCGCCTTGCCCTCAGGGAAGTGATCGGCGATGGCGACCTCTCGCGTCCGGGCCTAGTGCAGGCCATGATGCGGAGCGAGAGGGATTGGGATGCCGTCTCCTCCTTTTGCGAAGCAGTCATGCTAGCTAAGGAGAAGGCGGGACGCGTGAGGCGGCGAAGCGCTGCCTCCTCGCAACCCAGCCATCGCGAAGGACACACCGGGCGTCGGGGATCGCGGGACGATCTCCGGCCACCGTAAGCGCGGGCCTGCGGACGGCGAGCATGGGTGGCTCCCCGTCCGACCAGAAACAGACCCGAGCGTACGGCGCGTCGCGTTCCGCGCGCGCCTCAAAAGGCCGATGCCGATTCGGAGTCGCGGAGAACCTAACGGGTAACCGGGGCTCCGGCTCGACGTGCAGGAGAAGGAACGGGGTGGTTTATAGTCAGTAAGAGTCTGACACTCCCTCCCGCCTCACCCAGGCGGGAGCAGTCATTCGATGATTTTCCCCCCTTAAAAAAAAAAAAAAAAATGTATAGACATAGATAATCTTGAGTTATTTCAAGACTAATTATTCGTTGGTGGGCCCTATTTTGTTTTCAGCAGCTTACATTGAGCTGATTTCGAAAAATGTTGACGTTGATTTGATCAGTATACTATGATACCTATGTGATGAATGTAAGACTGCCTCGTTGGCCGAGTGGTCGCAAGTGCTACTGCCGGGCAAGGGGTCTCGAGTTCGATTTCTGGGTCAGGCAAACTACTACTGGGTTTTTTAAACAAATTCTCAGTAGTAGCACGGAGTCTGGAATTGTGCCCGGTATATGGCAATAGGCTCACCCCCTATTACATGGGCACATAACATTAATAGTGAAAAGTGGGTGTTTTATTAACGTTAAGACTGTAC